CCTAATTTAAGTTACAACTCCCGTTTTTACGTGGACTGATTATTTTTTCCAAATCCATACTCTTTCGGTCATCCAGTTAACCAGTGTTTCCGTTAGTCCGTGTCATGTTGTAAATTTAAGTTCTTATCCACGTGAACACGGTTCCGTTGTCCTACTAATCAGTGTGACCATATATATATATATATATATATATATATATATATATATATATATATATTTCANACACGTCTGAGGCCAGACTGTGCCAAACAAATCATGGTACAATAATCTGTATAAAAAAAGAAAAACTTTCCACGATTTGCTTGAGGACCGACTACTGTCAGGTTGCCCAGGCCAATGCAGGTGAATTTTCTTGAGTAATCCACAACCGGAGCCTTCGGCTAGCCGAAGCCTGACCCGCAAGGTGGGGCGGTGTATGAAAACCACAATCCATTGGGGAACGGTGATCAGTTCATCGAATCATACGCCCTTTGGACGGGGTCAAACGCCCAAGGTGCCCAATCGAGCCGGTGACCACTGCCACACTCGGGAAGGTGTGTGGTTCATACGCCTCTTATTGGTTGGTTTGGGATCGGCTTTCCGTCCTCTCACTTTGGTGGGAAACACCTCCGCCCCACGAGAAGACAGTGATTAGACCTTTCTCAGCAGAGGCTATTTAAGACGCTTGGTCCTATGGGAACATTTCGTGAGGTGCAAGGGCAGGGTGACCAGCCGTAACCCTAGAAACACCCGATAATATCGAGGTTTTTGGAGGCGCACACGCTACCTAGAGCTCGTTGTTGGAAGAAGACTTTTCACTTGTATAGGTAGTATCCAGCGAAAAGGATGCTATGCTCTCCAAACGTTGCTGGTATTATTAAGTTAATGAGCCTGTGGATGGGCCTCGAGTAGTCAGCGTATCAGCAAATATAGCGCAGAAGTGTCTACCCAAGACGCTGTATCAGTTTCTTCAGGTTTATTGCTTTGCAACGATGCTTTCCGTTCCTATGATTTTGGGGACACGTCTGTCTATCCTTAGAGGCGCGTTAGTAACTTGCTTTAGGCTTGCTTCGACTATATTTTCAACTTTACTGTCCTCCTACTGTTCATACACATGGGCAGCCAAAAGACAGCCACCAAAACCAACGCACGAAAGTGCATGGTTAATGGTCGTACAAACTGAAGTGAACGTAGGCTTTCTTCGGTATTGGAAGGGCATACGGTACCCACGGTATCACAATAAATTGGAACAAATGTTATTGAATAAATTGTGCGTCATGCTCACAGTATTAGATTTGTATGGCAATGCTTGGATTAGCCACGAGGAGAAAAAGACAATTGTTTCGACCACTCGTAATACCTTTTTATGCGATTTCCCTCAGTTTGTTCGCTTGTTAATTGACTAAAAACCGCTTTCCAAGAGGCATCGTTTCCATAAGTTATTTTTCTCTTCGTGGCTAATACAAGCATTACTATCCGGATATAATATACGGTATCCACTTTGCTTTGTTGCTGATCGCCCATGCCTATTTATTCAATGAGCCAAGACCTACCTTATTTACGGTTATCAATCAAGTTGGTGATTGCCCCCCCCCCGCCCCTTATTCATGATCTAAGGACGCGCTTATCTCCGACTTGGTTTTTTCATGCCGTGGACCAAAAGTCTAATCTTTGAGGTTCAGATGCCACTAAGGCTACCAGTAAGGATGTTGTAGTGATATTATTATTGTTAGTAGTAATGTTTATAGCAGTAGTAGCACGGGAGCTAACTTCCATCTTTGCTTCTTTGTACTGGACAGGGCGTCGCTGATCCCGACCTGAATGTTCGTCAGGGTGCTTTACAATGTGATCGCCTTTTGAAGGAAATCGTTACTGAACCCGATTTTCCCAGTCTCACCGAAATTGTGTCACTGCTGCGTGAACGTATCTACACCAATAACCCATATGCACGACAATTCATTGTCTCCTGGGTGAGTCCTTGTATTTATTGTTTATTCACTTGAGACATACCACAAAATCTGCTTCATAATTGTTACAGTAAAAGAAGCAAACCCCCGTGATCCAAGGAGACTGTTGGGAAAACATTTTCCGTAGATCCAATCTGTTGAAGATTTTGATTTGAAATTATGGCGGTTCTAGGTGGGGTGGGGGAAATCGACAGATAGTTTGGATGTTAGCGATGAAGAGAAGAAAGTCAGCGGTTAGATATAAAGAACTCAACTCCTGATAAGGTTGACTGGTTGTTTAGGCCCTAGAATGACGGGAATATGTAAGGAAGACTAGGATGAACAAAATCTGAAATGATAGCGTTCAAAAGGGATAACGAAACAACCTCACAGCAATTTGGTAGTGACTGTGGTTAGAAAAACGCCCTTGAGAACGTCGCACGTTAGGAAGCCGTGTTCATGATCACTCATGAATCCTTCACGTAAAGGAAGCAGTTATGGTTCCCAATAATTTTCAAAAAAGCAAGGAATGAGGAAGTTGATTGTTGGAATCTGAGGTTTTATCATGTCTGGGAATGCGAAGCATCACAGCGGTTTCTTAGAGTCAATAGACACTGAACTGTAGAGAGACAAAATGAACGATGAATGAAAGGGTTTCATTCGGGGGTATACATATGGAGAACATTCGGATTGATCCCGTCTGGGTCGGGGGTAGGAGAAGGGGGTTGTGGTCGTTAGGATGAATTTAGATAGATGAATTTTGAGACAAACCTGAAATCAAATATTTTTGCTTCATTGTGATGTTCGGGTACGGGCGTGCCAATGAAGTTTGTGATGAAGAAGAGACCCAGTAGTTGCTATCCATTTTGAAAAAAATCGAAATATTCGATTATCAGTAAAACAATGTCATTTATTCCACCTTGCGACGAATGTAACTTTCTTGCATTAGTTGTGCAAATACAAGTAAACGCTTTCTCAAAGAATGCCCACGAACTTTGGTGATGTACTAGCATTTATCCGTTCAATCATGCCCATCGTGAACCATCTAACCGTATCTCATTCCTCCTTCAGGAAAATCTTTAAGCCTATCAGAGATTTGTATTGTCTCTTTCGCTTCAATCTCTCAACCGATCCCCACGTGGTTACTATCATTGTCAATAGCTCGTATACCACTGTCAAAGGATTTTAGGTAATGTCTGCAGGCTGATAAATGATCATCTTCGACTTTTCGCCGATAGAAAATACTGCAACTGTTTGCCTGTCTCTTTCACGACTGACGCACAAGAGTTCAGGAACCGCGCTGCACATGTGAAGTACTTTCATTTATAAGCCAACGCTCTCGTGATTCATCTTCATCACAATCACCTTACTCGTGGGGCAAACAGGAGACGAAAACTAACACGACTTTATCGGATAGCAGCAGCGCACAATGTATTGTTTGTCAATTGTTGAATATTTCACAAATTCTATTGCCACGTGTAATTTATTTTCTCGGGACCAGGTTTTGATACTTGGGTTCGCGCTTATCCAAATGGGATCCAAACCGTTTACGGCGGATTATGAAATCACTCCTGTTCGGCATCATTGTGTGAATGATAATGAAAGTGTTGCTGAAGTAATAAGTCATTTAGTTTCCGCGACGAGTATCCTGAGGATCAACGTGAAGGTTTCCTCGTTACAGTTTCGCGCTCAACATATGAACAATTCATGAGTTGGTGTCTTTAAAACTTGAGAACATCTATATAGCCCACGCAACACCATAATGTAGGGTTTTCCAACCTAAATTTGTAGAAAATTAACCACAGAATCGGTTCAATCCAACCCCAAAGTCGGTTGTCAAAACGATTTAACAAATAGACGCGTTTTATCATCTAGGTAGTTGCATTTAACACGGTGAGTGCTCTTGGAAAAGGTTGTCTGACGTCTACAGAAATCTCTTTTGGCGTTCACCAAGCTGATTAATCTCTGATCCGATGTCAGACGTACGCCTGCCCCTTGCGGATCGAATATATACCACAGCACTCCCGCATTCTCCTGTGTATAGTATGAAGTTGTAGCATTTATCAATGAAGAATACCAACGAGTGTTGATGCTTGAGCACCAACCAAGATTGCACAATCCTGACCAGAAATTGCACCATGTATTCAAAACCCATAAACTTCACTCGCCAAGACGTGCTGCTTTCACCCTCCGCATGTGTTCAGCGTGAAATGCTCACAGAAAACAGTAGTGCATGAGATTGAACACATTAACTTTTAAACTGAATCAGGTAGACTGTGTGGAATTAATAGTTTGGCTTCCGAGAGATTTACGTGTCATGATGTACACAAATGTAGTCTGCCACTCATTAAGGCCATCGCCATAACTCTGTTGCATGTAGCACTTGTTTGCACAATGATTGGAGGCGTATGCTCGTGGAAATAAATGCGAAATAGAGTGCGTCTGTGTACTATACTACGAAGTTTTTGCTTAGATGAACTCGTCAAGTCGGCATCTCGTCACAGAACGAGTAGCCTAAAAGTAAAATAAAGTGGTTTTCACTATCTAGTCATTTTCCAAATACAGTTCTCGTGTCGAGTACATTTCATTATCCCTACAATGGAGTTGTTTGTAATTTATTTTGTCGGCTCCTTATTCAGTTCTTTAGATCGATTTAACAGTTGCTTAGCCATACAAACTGTTACATTCAGATATCGCGTTAACTTTGGTAAAAACTGCAATTGATATGAGTAGTTCCCTCCTCTCAGATATATATATATATATATATATATATATATATATATATATATATAGTATACCTTGAAACTCGGTTGTTTATTGTTAACAGTGTCCATTTGTCTTCACGGCGTAGGAAATTTAGGCTGAAATTTTTTATAGCTGCTCTTAACTCCCTTTGGCATTTTGATATGGAAAGTGTTTAAAATATCGTTTCTCGAAATTTGTTCCAACTCGAGAGTTGAGTTGACTGGAAGGGATATCAACTATAAACCTATACATTCACGTAATTCAGGACTTGCCATTCCATCCGGTTTTTTTAACGGATTGATTTTTGCAGACGACCGCATTGTATTCTGTCCCCGGGCTGAAAGTGACTGCTTACTTGCCTCAACTCTTGGATGGATTATTCCGTATTTTGGGCGATTCGAATCCGGACATACGGCGGCAGTAAGTGACTACGACAATCGGCAATCACCAACATTTTCTCATTTTTAATCCATAAAGTATAATCCCAAAAGTATTTTGGCTGGTACATACTGAAATCAACACAGGTTCAAATTTCATTATCAATAATTCCGTATAGACACACCCCTTCTACTCAGATATTGATCTCCTCGCTATACGAAACCACTGGACTTCCGTTGTTGCTTATCTCAGCTGCATATCGGATCATTTGGGTGTCGTAAACAGTGGCGTTCGTGCATCTTAATTTCTTTGCAACCTTGGACCACTGATTTTTTCCATTTTCTGTTCAACTCCACTTTCAACTTTTCTTTGTTCTATTCTTCATCCAAATGGGCAGCCAAAAGACAGCAACCAAAACCGGCGCACGAATATGCTTGGTTAATGGTTGTACAAACTGAACCGAACTCATTTGTATAAGATCATATATCTTATTGTAAATAGTAAAGTGGAGCTGGCTGTACTTCGTTTTACACACACCCTTGATCAATGGATTTGTTTTTACAGGTAGTGCCAGACTTCATAGATGGGAACTTCTTGATGGTAGGAAGTTTCACTTGCACTCGGTTAAGTATCACACCTAAGCGAGTGGAATC